GCACACCCCAGACAAGTTCTGCATGCAGCACACTGGGTCAGGGCCAATGCATGCATGCTGCATGCAGCATGTGAGGCCAATTTAAGACCGAAAGGGAGCACAACAGGTTGGATGATAGGGCTCTGCAAGCCAGTTTTTTGACACCCTTGATGTAGATGAACATGGAGTTAACAGCAGACAATGACACTCGTAAGGCAAGTATGGAACGCTTCCCAAGTTTATTTAGCCGAGCTTCTAAAACCCTCCCTTTGGGAAAATGAAACCAGTAGCCCCCTCCCTCCAATCAGACTATATGGTGTTAAAAATCTACTGGTATCTTCGAATTTCAAAATAAAAATGTTAATTTCAGTTAATCAAACCTCCTTCTTTTCTTACCTAGCTTTCATGAGTAGTGGAATAATTAAAACAATGGTATTTGCTTGTTGCATCATTAGCCTCTGAACTAACACCCAGGGAAGCAAATAGAACAGTTCACAATGCACAGCTGCTATTTCAGACCCTTTGCAAACCACATGTAGGTTGCTTCTCAAGGCTCTCTTTGAAAATCTCATGGTGAGAAAAACTGAAAAGTCTGTCCAGGCCCTCCCTGTGCTCTCTCCTCTTACCCCTCTCTCCTCCTACCCCTTTTGGGAAATTCTAATTTCTCTTAATCACCAGACTGAATGATGTGATACTGGTTTTGCTGAAGTGGAAAGTAGTGAGGCAGCAGTCAATCTTAACTCCATAATGAATTAAGAGCCTCTTCTGAGACTGCATTCCAGTTTCCCCTTCTTGTCTGAGACCTTACAGGAACAGAAGAAAGAAGAATAGAATTTTCTTCATCTTCACAAATCACAGAGCACTGAAACATGCACCCTCTCTCATAGCCTGGTACCAAGGATTATGCTGTCTCAAGCACCGACTCTATCGTTACAGACATTAATCCACAAGCCCCTAATTTACAATAGGTCTGCCAGTCACTGCTAACAAGTTAGGATTTATTTGAAAGCTTCAAAATAAATTAGCAAAACACTTCAATTACAATTTTTTATAAAACAGAATATAACTTAAAGTACCAGTAAAACTATACTCAACTTTGCTAAAGGTTTGCTTTTATTCATCCAGGCATTTGACTAACTATGATTATTGCTTTAAATGATACTGTACGAATTTTACCTGTTTGTAGACTTGCCGTAAATACATCATCTCCTCCACAGTGCCCAAGGATATTAATCTGAACACTTTCACATCCCTGCACTGACCGATCCTATAGGCTCTGAAAAGACAGTGACAAAGTCAATTTCAAGAACAGTATGATATTAGTCATCCAATGAGCTCTTGTAGAGATTAGTAAAATCACAATTTAAAAAATGAGGAAACACTTTAAAAGAACTTCCTTAAAATATATGTTTAGAAATTAACCGTTTTACCATGCCAACTCTTCCTATTCATGATTCTTTCTCTTTCATTTCTAAATTTGTGCCTTCTGCATTAAGCCATATATACCTGAGACAGCTTTCACATTCCTGTACATCATAGGGCTAACCTCTCTCCTACCTCAAAGACCTCTTTGAAACGCATCCTCTGCTTATTCTTTGAAAATTAATCTCTTTTTGCAATCTGCAATCTCATTTTGTATATGATCATTTTTTCTTTACATTATATGCAAGTTAGATCATAAAATTTACGGACGGGGACCACAGTCTCTTAATATTATAAAGCACTGTGCAAATTACATACATTAGATAAATAATGTATATGAAGTAGACGTATTTACATCTCTGAAATTACTAATGGATTATTTTCAGAAACTGCAGAAGAGACTTAATGAATGTCAAGAGATCGCAGAGATGCAATTTTGTGAAGCAGATTTTGTGAAGGCTATTCCTGCAGTAATACACAGTTTTGCAATATTTTTTTTCACATGCGGATTAGGGTGTGCAGGGGAGAAGGGATGTTTTTCTGAAGGTAAATGAAATAGAAAAATGGTCAGTCCTCTCAGAAATTATAAAAGCATGGAGGCCATAATGAGCTAATTATAATATGGATCTGCACACATGCTTCATTTTACTCAATAAAATGTGAGATGCTTCAGAACACTGAGCTGCTTTATATATCTTTTTTTAAAGCATTTTCCCAGCACAAACAGCTCAGAATAACGTTTTAAACAGGACACCAGACACACTTAGATACTGTTCTTTGTCCAAACGCATTTTATACTATAACTTTTAATGGTTGCTTTGATTTTATAATTTTTGGTACGGTAGCCTAGCAGAATGGGATAACTATTAAATATGGTTTAGAGGTGCACTGATATCTTGGTCGCATATCGGATTAGCACCGACAAAAGGAAAATTAATATTATCGGCCATCAGTTTTGGCTGGTGTAGCCAATAATTCACCGATAAATTCCACGTGCATGTGCACAGCTGCAGCATGCATGCGGCCAGGAGTGCAGCCACACAACTTGGAAAGCAGTGTCCTGTCGGTAAGTCTGAGGGAGGGGGGAGGAGGTGTGAGGGAGGGAATTGAGGCCCCCCAAGGTGAGGGAGGGAGTGGGGCAAGGGCAGGTACTGCCCAGCCAGGGTGGTGAATGCGATCCTGGGGCTAGGAATGGGATGGAGCTGCAGGCGGCTCATCTGGGGGGCATGGGGGACGGTGGGAAAGGGAGGTGGCTCCCGGCCACTGCATGTACTCCCAGGGGAGGCATGGGAGGGATGTGCCCCCCGGATTTGTGTGTGGGGCAAGGGCGGGCTTTCAGCTGCAGTGGCACTGGGAGGGGTGACTATGGGGGGGCTAAGGGAATTTTTGGGTGGCTATAGCCACCCAGACCCTGCCCTAGTGCCACTCCTGCTCAGGGCACTCCACTCTGCTGCCTTTCTCTTGGAAGCCCGCATGGGAAAGGCAGCAGAGCAGTGCCCTGAGCAGAGGAGGCACTAGGGGGTGCCTGGGGGGCTATAGCCACCCCAAACTTCCCTGTAGCCTCCTGTCCCAGTGTTGCCACTACCCACCCCATGCAGTTGAGACTGCCCTACCCCCAGGGGTGAGCACAGTGGCAGCGAGGATCTGCTTCTTCCCCACGCCCCCCAGATAAGTCGCCCTGACTCCATCCCACTCCTGCCCCAGTGTCACATTCACAGTCCTGGCTTGGCAATGCCCTGGGGGCATCAATCTTCCCCACCCTACACTCCTTTCCTCCCCCATACCCCTTCTCCCCCACAGATTTATCAGCAGGATGCTGACCGGTTGCATTCCTGTAAATCAGCTATCAGATCAGTATCAGCTGATATGGCTGGTTAACAAATCAGCTATGGGTATCAGCCAAGGAAATATTTATCAGTGCACCCCAATATTATTTCTTGTCTAGAATACCTAAGAAAAAAAAATTCTCTCTGTCACCCAGCAGAATACATAAATATTGGCCTGTCTGTTTAATAAGGACTTCTCAACACTACAAAGAGAGACTACAAGTAACAAAAGCATTTTTCTTCAGGACTTCATGTTTTCTCAGATGATTCTTGCACCATAATTCTTATGGCAGCATAATTCTTGCATCCTGCCATAAGACACTTGTATATAAAAAATGAAACACTATTACAATCACAGCATTTTACCACATCTCTTTTCCCATTCAAAAGTAGTACATTAAAAAATACTAAAATTCAGGGTTTAAAAACAGAAGTGTTAATCCTAAAAATATTATTTATCACAATATTTATTAATCTAGTATGAAGAACTAAAGAACAGAGTGCACTTAAAAGCATCCTATATTTTTAGGGAAACAATGAAGAAATTGAATTCTAAGATCAAATGGAAGCTAGCATTACATCTTCTTGAGTAATTTGAAGCTATACCTGTCAATGGCTTGTAGATCATTGGCTGGGTTCCATGTTGGATCAAACAATATAACAACATTGGCTCCAACAAAATTGAGACCCAAACCTCCGGCCCTGAAAAAAAAAATCTTAAATAATCCAGTGAGAAAAGGAGTGAGATAGCAACATCTTTTCAATTCAAATGGAATGATTCCTAACTCTCCATTTATTTAAGCAAAATTGTTTTGCATACTTACATAAAATATGCATATTTTTGAATATGTATCCCTATCCCAAACTAGTATGTCCCAGTTGTCCACAAAGCTATGTTGCCCGGAGTTCCATACTTCTGGAAAGGTCACCTATGCTGAACAGACCTGAGGGGAAGTTCCAGACAAACTACAACCAAAATCCAAGTCCTCCACGGTGGATCAGGCAGAGGAAGATGTCAAGATCTCAACAGCTGGAAAGACGGAAGAAGGCTGCACCAAGATGGAGGTCTCCTGTCATCTAGGTCTCTCCCTTGCCACTGGGCTTACATCTCTACCTTGTCAAGATCATGTGGTTGCTGCTTCCGTGCACCAGCTTCCTCATAGTAAACAAAGTCATGCATAGGATTCTACCACATGAAACAACACGCTCTCCTGTACCAACCTCCAAAAGCCCTGCAGCAATGGATGAGTGGTGACAGATACGGAACTACTGAATCTGGCAGTCTTGAGCCATGAATCTAAATGCATGTGGCAGCAGCCTGATGGTCATCTTGCATGTGGGTTGAGACAGGGGTCTCTCTGTTCATCCCACATGGGGAAAGGGCTAGAAAAGGTGCACTAATGCTAAACTGTCTTATCTGCTCCTGGCTGGATAATTGTGTCCAGAGGGTTCACTCTGAGGTTGAAAACATCACATGACAATGATTTTCACAACATGGAATATTTGCACCTTGATGGATAACCAAGACAACAAAAAATTAGAAAGAAGAACTGCCATTGTCTCCAGGGAATTAGTGAGATACAATATCAACATTGCAGCTCTGAGTGAGACAAGATGACTATATGAGGGTCAGCTTCTGGAAGTGGAAACGAGCCCAGGACAAGAGCATCCATGGTGTCAGCTTCACTATCAAGAATCAGCTCATCAGTCAACTTACAGAGTTCCCTGTGGGTATTAACAAATGCCTTAGCCCGGTGGTTCTCAACCTATTTGCTATAGTGGGCCACACTTGCACCTCTCAATGTGCTACATGGGCCACACCCACACAACTAACTTCCTGTGCATCCATTTAACTGGATGTCATGTGGGCTGCAGCAGTGTGCTGATTGGGCTGCATGTGGCCCACAGGCCGCAGGCCATAGGTTGAGAACCACTGCTTTAGTCCTTCTGTCTTAAGCTGAGCAACAACCAACACAACACCATCATTAGTGCATATGCTTGATGCTGACGCTTATGTCAAAGAACAGTTCTACTCCAGTCTTAACCATATACTAACACTCCCAATTAGGACAAGATCATTCTCCTTGGTGACTTCAATGCCAAAGTCAGATGTGACCTGGAACTCTAGAGTGGCACCATTGGGAAGGAAGGAGTAAGAAAAGCCAACTCCAGTGGCATCCTTCTCCTGTGCAAATGCGTGGAACAGGATCTTGTCATCACGAATACCATCTTCACACAGTTACAAATACAAGACCACATAGAGACACCCTCACTCTAAGCACTGATGCTTCCTCGACTGTGTTATTGTTAGAGCCTGTGAACAAATGGATGTTCGTATCATGCAAGCTAGGTGAGGAGCTGATGACTCCTGGACAGATCACCATCTTGTCAGATCCATTATGAACATCAAGCTTGCAGCAAAACACCAAAAGCAACGTAAAGGACTCTCAATACCAAATCTATTCAAGACACGAAGGTTTGTAATGATTTCCAATAGTCTCCATGGAAAGCTCTCAGACTTGCCCACAAATGAAGGCAACATTGTGGAACTCTGGAAGGCTTAAAACTATTATTCATATGGCCTATGCTGAATCCATTGACTATACCAGCTGTCAATACCATGACTGATTTAACGAAAGCAATGCCAAGATCCAAGCCTTCCTTGACTGGAAGAGAAGGGCTCATTCTGCTTGAAAAGATGATACCTCATCTTAGCAGAAGGAGATGCATCATGTACTCAAACCTGAAGCTCAAAGGAGAATCCAGGAAATCAAAAACCAATGGTGGCAAAATAAAGCCAAAGAGATCCAGCTCTACGCTGACAAACATGACATGCATACCTTTTCCTGGGCAATGAAGGCCAACTATTTCCATTATCTGTCATTATCTGGCCCACCTTCCCACAGTCCAACTTTCTTGCATTGCAGGATGGTGCAAAGCTCCTCAAAGACAATAAATCTATCCAAGCTAGATGGAGAAAGCACTTTGAGGCGCTCCTGAACTGTAAGTCAACTGTGATGGATACTACCATTGAATCCATCCACCAACATCCTGAAAAGGAACCCCTTCCAACCCTCCTAGCCTAGAAGAAATCTGGTGCACCTTCAAAGAAATCAAGACCAACAAGCCTGCTGGACTGGATGGCATACCTGCTGAAATCTACAAGGCTGGTGGCAAGAAACTGTTACTGCGACTCCACAAATTTATTCTACACATCCAGAACAATAAAGAGATCCATGGGGACCTGAGGAATGCCAGAAGCATGACTATCTCTGAGAAAGGAGATAAGTCTGTGTGTGGGAACTATCAAGGTATCACCCTCCTTTTCACAGCAGGGAAAATTCTTGCCCACAGCATCCTGAACCATCTTCTACCTCTTGCTGAAGAAGTCCTTCTGGAATCTCAGTGTAGTTTCAGACCATCCCGTAGTGCAAATGACATGATCTTTGTTGTCTGCCAGGTCCAAAAAAAGGCATCAGGAACAGTATCGGGACTTATATATGGCCTTCATTAACTTCATTAAGTCCTTGAATTCCATCAATTGCTAAGCCTTCTGGAAAGTACTGGCCAGATCTGGATGTTCATAAAAGTCCATCATGGTCCTGAGGCTTCTCCCTGAACCCTTTCTGACTGACACTATGATCCCCTTCACCTGCTCAAACTGCTGCTCTGCTTTCTGCTTCCTGCCCTGTGCTCCCTACCCAATCTACTGCTGTTTTTTGCTTCCTGCATTAACTGCCCCTGCTGCCTGACCACTCCCTAATCTGTTACGTCACACACAGAGGATGCCTGTGCCACTTGAGTCCTTTTGACCTTGACAAGCAGACTTCCCAGAGTTTCATAACCAGCCACTGCACCTTCAGCATAGTAAAAGTGCTACCTCTCTACTGCAGGGCTATCAAAGATATGGACTGTAGGCCAGATCTGGCCCACAGAGGCCTACCATCTGGTCCCCAGTGGACCTACAAGCAGCATGAGGGCACACTGGATGGCCCTGCATGCAACAGGGGCCCTGATTTGGTTGCTCTGGGATCATGTTACACGCTCTGGAGCAAGTCCGCTCCATATGGGATCCAGCACATATCCAAGGAGCAGCCAGAGCAGGTGCTGTATGAAGCACAGTCCCAGAGTAGCCAAAGTAGGCACCACATGCAGTGCAGCCCTGGAGTGACTGCCACATGCAAAGCCTGCTCCAGGATACGCATTGGATCCTGCATGGAATAGACACATGCTGGATGGAGCAGGCACTACAGCCCCAGAGTGGCCACTCCAGGACCATGTCAGACATGGTGCTCACTCTGGCCACTCCAGGATGCACACTAGAACACCGGTATATGGCAGGGACATACTGCAGCGGGTGCCGCATACAGTGTGGTCCTGAAGTGGCCAATCAAGGACATGAACCATATGCAGCACCTGATTCAGAACATGTGCTGCATCAGGCATGCAGGGTCAGTGGTTGGGCCCAATCCAGCCACAGACAACCCGCACGCCACTCATCTGGCCCACAAGGCCCAGTGAGTTTGACACCCCTGATCTACTGCATTTTTGTCATAATCATAGAGCAAGTGAAGATTTGGTCCTCAGCACTCGCTATCTCAACATATTTTCACTTAACTGCCCCTTCCCCCGCTGCTTCATTTCACTTCACTTATGACTATTTATATAGAGCAGTGGTGATCAACCTCTAGCCTGTGGAACAATGTCATTTGGACCACGTGGCTCCCCATTGGTCCAGAAATTTGGGGTCGGGGCAGTGGTGGCAGAATTAATTGATGTTCCCTGCTGCCAGATTTCAGACCTATGAAGAGTCCTGTGGGCTGAATAACATAACTCTACCCTCATATATGGGGTTGCTTCATAGTCTGGTTCCATGCATGCAGTCAGGCCACTGCGCAATAACATCCAGGCATGCAAGATTGGACCAGTGCGCCGCCACATTCTGGTGCACTGAGTGGGGCTGGCCTGTAGCCACAGAGGCGTAGTTAGGATCGGGCTGTTGCATGGCCAGATCCAGCACACGGGTTGGGATGGCAAATGGAGTTGCACCCACAGACAGATCCCCCTGCACTGATCCTGCGGGGGATCCAACCTGCTGACTAACCCTGTGCCATTCATTCAGCCCAAGGGAATGGAAGGTTGGGCACCACTGTACTGGAGTGCTAGCACTCTAGCCCTGACACAGCTAGACTGCTTTTGAAAGCCATAATTCTATGTAAAGGGAACTTACACCAAATATTTCCTTAATCATGGGTGATGAGTTTTAACAGTAAAATACATGACTTGTACCAAAATCGCATACAGTTTATAAGGCATGTGAAAGCTATTCTTAGTGACTGTATAGCTGTCAGAAGCATTTTTGGCAATACAAAAGTTATTAGTGCAGCAGGGCTCTTTTTGAGAAAATAATTGCAAGAGGGGTGGGTTAAGTACAGAAAGGAAATGACTAATAAGAAAAAAACCCAACTACCTGTTCATGATGCTGTTCTTTAAGTGAATATGAATGTTTGTGAGAGGATGGAGTTGCAAGGTTTGGTGTAAGGAAGTCCTATTTACTCAATTCCAAGACGAGCTCCTCCCCTCAACATGGAGAGAGAAAAAACCCTGATCTTGGAATTGAGTATGAAGTGGTGGAGTGGTAGGGTGGCAGGCCACTGCTGCAGCTCTGGCTCCAGCCCCAACCCCTACTACCCATGTCCCCC